AAAAAAAAAAAAAAAAAAAAAAAAACATACACATATATGATATTTATCGTTCAATGGTATATGAGAAAGTGTATTATAATTGGTATAACAGTTGATTGCACCTATTAACAGCGTAAACCAGCAAACAAGTCCAGCTTAAGTTTACATTGCTTTTCATTCTATTAGGACAATTGTCCTTCTGCTTCACTTAAAATGAGGTGCAAACATCTGTAATTCCAGTAGATCAATCTCAACTTAGTTCTCAGGAAAACATCTTCCAGTTCCAGCGAAACGACTGGCAACCAATTTTTGTATCTTCACTCGCTAGTTATGAACAGATCCATATCATATATAGCACAACAAGATAGCTCTCATGCAGTCTCTCTCACTTGAGTTAGGCTCGCATAAAAGAATCTTTCGCATACATTATGCATTGCAAAAATCAGAGAGAGTTGAGACTTATAAATGTCCTGAACAAAGTAATGCTGCCCCCATCATTTTCATGTTTTAAATTAAAGAATCTGGCAGAGAGCTAATGTGGTGAATGAAATCTTCAATTTTTAATTTGAGAATAATAATGCTTTATTGTTGAGAGGATAAAGCATTTGGGTTATGAATTTAAGTTTTATCATTTGGATGTGCTTTCATTCCAATTATTTGGCTGCTTTATTATCCACTGTAATTTCATATTCTATCATTTAACTCGTGTTTCTTTGATGAAGTATTTATTCAAAGTTTGAATACTTACTATTGTTGTTGCAGATGCTACTCAAGATGCTTTGCATTAAACCATATTATCTAAATTATCAAATCACCACTCAAAAACACAACAAGTAACCTGGAGTAATATCCACTAAGTGAATTTCTGTTGAAAGCACGTTGTGTAACTTTTCTCCAATGGAAGTGGGAAATAATAAAACAGATTGGAAATGACTTGCATGAGAAATATCAACCATACCTGTTAATTGTGAAGTCTCTGTACTTGCTGTCTTTCCAGCAAACTAAGTCCTTTGAGTTAAGCCGTGTTTGCCTCTGGGGGATGCTAACTTCTTTTCTTCGGGACTTTTTAGCTGCAGTTTCGAAACTTGAGACCTTGACAAGAGGAGGAAATTGTTCACCAATTAATTTCAGTAGAAAACTACTTGATTACTTCAACAAACAAACTCTACCAACATGAGATGCAGGCAGGGGGGGAATGAAACAATTAAAATTCAGCACTAACCTCCACTATCATGCCTTTTACTTTGACCCTACAGATAGGAAATCGCTTTCCGATGATTATTGCATAACGAAACTTCCTTTTTACCTACAAAAAATATACATTAATGAATTATTTGTATTTCGTTTAGATCGGAGAGTGCCGCCACAGTTTCATGTACTGATGCATAATTACAATTTTAAGACACTATGGAGGACCTGTTCAAGTGTTGCAGTTGTAATCACATCGAAGTCTTTGGGAACTTTATTTAGAAGTAAGTCTCTTACGCATCCACCGACTAAGTAGGTGTTGAAACCTGCATGTTTTAGCTTCAATAACAAGACAAACAAACATTGCCATGAACAGGCCCAAAATCAGGATGAACAAAAAGGAACCAGTAAGAAACTATTTTTGGTGCTTGTACACATTGACTAGCTACTGTCGAAGGGGTCACAATAAAAGGAAAGAAAATCAGCCAATATGATTGCATGACTTAATTGTGTTTAAACTTTAAATGTGTTTCAAACCCTGCACATATCCAAGAGAAAAATAATTGCTCACCTTTATACATTCAGAGTATTCATGTTCTTTAGATGTTCAAGTCATGGAAAAATATTGTATGAAGTATAAATAATTTAACTGTGTCGACAACTATACTAGTGTGGCAAAAAGTAATATGAATGAACTTTGGATGGAAATTAGTGAAGTCGTAATGCTCTATGATCTTTGGATGGAAATTAGTGAAGTCGCAATGCTCTATGATCACCCAAAGATAGTACACCATTTGCATCTTAAAGTCTACATATGAAAGAATATGTATGACATATTCATGGGTGTTTTGGGTGAGAAACTTACTTAAAATATAATAACACAGACACAAGATGAAGATAAAGGACTTTAAATAGAACTGGCATGTCAAGTTTTCTCAATACCTAGAATAGAACTGGCATGTCAAGTTTTCGCAATACCTAGAACAATGTAAAAAGGCTACATAACGAATATTAAACCAAAGATACAAATTAAGCACCTGCACTTCGCAGATTCTTTAGAACAATCCAAGAATAAGAAGGTAACGTCGACTTTGGTATCCCCAAGGACGTAGCATCCAGCTTTCTCCATTTACAAAACTCAACTTGACCTACGACATCATCAAACATTTCAACTTCTAAGCTAAAGAATACAACCACATCAAATTCTTAGAGACTTGCAAATGAAAACATAATCAGCTAAAATGAAATATATAACAACACCAACAAAGACCAGAAGATTACATGAAACCTTACTCAAACATTTACATGTGTTTAACTTTTTAGTATCTAAGTAACACCGAACTGAATTCTTCAAACACCATATCTTATCTTTCTTACCGACAAACAGTGCCCCAAAATTCGTAACATAATACCTGAGCCAGAGCATGTTCCCGCGTCCGTACAGAACTGGGCTAGGCCTCCATCTACAACAAAGCCGCTTCGAAACCTCTGCAGAACACGAAGAATGGCACGGGCAAAAGGTTTTAAAAGGGACAATAAAATACATGGTTTTGGGGCCAACAACTGTTCGAGTATATGCCGCCAGATTGAACGGCTGAAAATGGCATTTTTGATACTTACCTCGAGACGGAGAAAGGGTTTCAGGCGGGAAATCAAGGTCTTGCTCTTGAGATGTTGAGACATCGACATGTGAAGGAGTTTGATTTGCAGGTTTTGGAGGTGAAAGCCTTACCTGTGAGCAGAAGGCAGAATAAAAAGCGGCCCTTGAACGGAGGGCAAAGCCAAATTTTCACGAACACCATAAATTCCACAAAATTGAAGAGGGTATATATTTTTCATTGTTTTTACTTTTTAAAGAATTTTTTATTTATGAGATTTTAATATCCCTTCCCTCGCTATATATTAATTCAAAACATGTTAGAGACTAGGTGGCAGATTCTCATGCTTCGGATGCTGACGTGGTGAAAATCTATATTTCGTGATGTTGTTTTTTATTATTTTACTCTGGAGTTAAGTTTAGTGTTAAACATAAATAACTTTACACATATATTCATTAACTCAACAAAAAATAAAAAATTTATGTATTAAGATATTTTTATAATTAAAATATTAGAAAGACGTAAACATTCATTTTTTTTATTAATTATTGAGTTTTTTTAAAAAAAATATTTCGTAAATTATACTCAAATATCACATATATAATTAAGATTCTAAATAATATCGTTAAAGTGGAAATATTTTTAAAAAAATAAGATTTTAAAGGTTTTAAAACCCGTTTAAAGTCTAGAACAAACTCATCATCAACTATCCAATTTTTCATCTATTTTATTTCTTTTTCAATTTTACATAAATAGTGAAATTCAATTTGTCACTTGATTTTATATGAATTGTTGAACGTTGATTTAAACACAGATAAAGTTTGTTCGTTTTATAATTCAGTGGAGCCAAATATTTTCTTTATATATAACGTCAAAAAATCACAAATAATATGATAGTTTTTGTAATCACTTTAAATTTAATACTCACTGAGCTACATGAATTTGTGAAGACGATATTTTTCAGTATAATATGGAATATAGTGTATTTTTTTTTCTTTTGGGTAGATATGATTCTAAAAAATAGAAAAAAGTTTCATACATACAACGCTATTATACACCCTTTTGCTATTGGAAATTAAAAATTTCACTCAACCAATACTTTTCGTTAAACTATTGTTATTCGTTCTCACCATCCGTCGTCAATGAAAGTTTTACAAAAACACTTGAGAAATAAAAAATAGATAAAATAGTGCTATAGGTCAATGAGTTATATAAATATCAAACATAAATTGAATGAGTTAGAATTGTTGTATCTCGTGAATATTTAAACACCCTAAGAGATTATCCATCATTTTAGACGAATGAGTAGGTTTGCTAACTTATTGTATAATGTTGTTGAAAATCTAGAATTTGTTAAAAGTCATCAAATATTTGTATCATGATATTGAAAATCTAGATGTTTTCAAGGCGTGAGAGAGCTACGAAAAAACTATTGAATTCCTCAATAAAGGTACTTCATGTCGAAAGGTAGCATCCCTCTATTGGAGTCCTCCATGTTTAATTTGTCTATGAAAATATCTATGTATGATGATTGAGATAGACACAACGTTCTCTTTTCACGTTCTAGAATGACCTAATGAAGAACGTTTCCTATCTCACCCAAATCTTTCATACCACTTTTTAGATAACCATACTTTTACATCTGACAATTATCTCTTATTGTTTTCAATTAGAAGTATATCGTCTACGTACAACACAAGAAGTACCGCCACGCTCTCACTGCGTTTCTTGTACACGCAGTGCTCATCTGGACATTGAGTGAACCCACACTACTGGATCGCTTTATCAAATCGGATGTCCCAAAACCTATAAGCTTGTTTCAGTCCATAGATAGACTGATTCAGCTTGCATACAAGATGCTCACAGCCCTTTGCAGTGAAAACCTCTTGTTCTACATATAGATGTATTCCTGAAGACTTACGTTAAGGAAAGCCATCTTGACATTCATTTGTCAAATCTCATAATTCATATGAACGACTACAACCAAGAAAATTCGAATGGATTTTAGCATAGCTACTGGCGAACCATTCGCTTGTCGGCAGTAAACAGACAAATGCTTTGGAGGGATGTATTGCCAATTAAGCATAGTGAGAGGATATATCGAGCACGAATAGTCAAATCACGGCAGGGCAAGCTGAGCGATAACTCAGAGCCCATTAATAAAATGGGGCCTCATTTATTAAATAAATTACTATGTATTTATAATATGTCAAAAGTTACTTTTTACTAGGCGCAACCTAATTGGCACAAATTCAACTAATAATTTTCTTGGCCAAGAGCAATTAAATGACTCCAATGAGCTCACATCTCTCATAGTTAAATTGAAAGAGTCTTCTTCCTACTCAAACTTGTTGGTAGACACTTAATGACTCTCTCTCTCTCTCTCTCTCTCTCTCTCTCTCTCTCTCACTTTTNNNNTTTTGGTACAGGGACCTTCCGGTTTTCGGATCTACAGGGGAACCGACTAATCCGAAATCGAGCCGGGTAGAACCACAAGGGCGGCAAAGCTCTCCCTCAAGAGTTTTAACACTGCTGCATTCCCAGAACTCGAACTCGAGACCACTGGTTAAGCTGGAAGAGACCCAAACCATCTCATCCAAGCGCTCTTGGGTTATCTCTCTCAATTTAACTTCTAATAACAGTAATAATAGTAAGCGATTATTGACTATAAAATATTATTTTATTCTTTTCGGCCATCGTTCTCCTTTGGCCATTTTTTATTTTATCTTATTATAATTTAATAGTTTAAATCACCAACACCACTTCTAATTACTTTCAAAGAGTACCCCAAATATCGAGTTCGGTTTCAATTTTATTTTATATTCCTTCTCAATTGATTCCACGTACATACTTTATTATTATTATTATTATTATTATTATTATTATTATTA